TGGTCATGACACGACTACTGCGCGTTGAACGTTGAACGTTGCTCCATATGAATTTCAGAAATCCCTTTAGATGCAAGCTGAACTTGAATAAAGATCAGTGCAGGAAAGAGCGTGCTTCGAGAATGGTGGATGGCGAGCACAGACATACAATCTAATGGGGCTAAGAACTCGGATACGATGATCGGAATCCTCAAGGTTTTGCGTTCAATGTGCTGGGTGTCAAAAGAAAGCAAAACAACGAAAAGAAATAAAATAGAAAGAATTTGCCCAGATATTCCCAACACCATATTGTGTCGAAATTTTTTTCCATGAAGATGGCTTGGGTGCTTTTAGAGGTAAGACTGTCGGGGGTTGGCCAAAATTTTCGTTGCGCGCTTCGCGCGCAGATGAACAAGCCTGGCGGTAACACAATAACACTAATATAACTGAATTGTCTTGAAGGTTTCCCTTAGAACTTTTCTATAAGCTCAAGGCGTCTCCTCTCTGAGTTACATTTTTTTTTTAAGTCAAGAACTGTCTGAGAAGAAATTATAGCTTACACCTGTTAATATGTACATGCCAAAATTCAGCAACAGAAGTATTGTACCCGTTGAGAAATATGTAAACTACAAAATCCCGGGCTTTGCCAGGCAGATAACTGGCAGATAAATACCTAGCACAATGATTGGTAAGTGCTTTGCATTGCCGTTTGCACGGCCATGGTGCCATGTCTGGAACCAATTTTAAAAAGAATCAAAAATCAAAAACTCCATATCTTGTGCACTATAAATTATGTTATTTAAAAGAGTGGCTTAGCTCAACGGAAAGATCTGATTAAGACTGGTAATGTATGGCAATATCTCCGGTTCAATTGCTGCAGGCTGCAATGTCTTTTCTCGGGAATATATTTGCTCTGACTTCTTTTTACTCTCCTATTTGCATTTTTATGCACCAAAAATCTCACACCACCACTTAGAAATTTATAAACACCAGAAAGTATGGATATAACTCAAACCAATAGATTGGGAAAGAATTCATGAGAATTGATATTTTCCCCTTCCACCTCTTCCTGCACATGCATACATCTGATCCTCTCTTGCAGAATCAATGCAGACCATGCACCTCCTTTTTCTTGAAGTAGAACTGGATAATCCTAGTTGTGCTTTCTACTGTAAAATTTACCTTGTG